AAAAAAAAAGAAGGTGGGTAATACCAGGGTTGGGTATTAGGAATGACATTCTGGGCAAGGAGGGAATACCATGAACTAGCGAACCCAGGCGGATACGGTAAACTAAGCCAAAGTCTTCAATATTGTTACTTTTCTCTGACATCTGCCATTTAACTGCATCTCTAGGCTACTCCTTCCTCATACTTAGTCATTTTAAATCCATTATCCGTGGTTAACAGTATAAATCTGTTATAAGTTAATGCTGTACTTCCCTAAACTCAACTATTTTTGTTTTTTTATTTATACACCCATGCACGTTTCTTTAAATTTTCATAATCAGTATCGACAAGAATCGATCTAGTACAAAGTGGGCATTAACTCAATCTACAGCAGCCTCGTTCTCCTACTTCAAGAACATAAATAAAAACTCATTAACATTATGAGTTAAGCCAAGGACAGCATTTAACAGATTACGGAATCCTGTATACTCAGTTAACTATAACATACACAAAAACCTACCCCTGACAGCAACAAATATGAAAGACACCATGACAATGGTTTGTGTCATTTCACCTTCAGGAATTCTGGAAGGGCCAGCTCCTCTAAGACTTTCTGCTGTTTGCTTGGAGCACTCCTGACACTCTCTTCCGTCTTCTTGGTCTTCTTGCTCTGCACTGCGTTGTATTCGTCTGTGTGGTGGCGTTTCAGGTGCCTTTCTAAGTTGGCTGCGTGGTCTCCAACCATGTCTGTCTTACAGATTTTACAAGTGCTTTTATTTTCAATCTTTTCATACTTGAAGAACTCCCGACATGGATTCTCTCTGGTCCGTCCCATACTAGAATCTGAAATGGAAGGAGGCATAATACCAAAGGAAGCTATATTAACATACTTCATGGTCGGTAGCAGAAACAAACCTTAAACTTTTAACAACACACTAGAATGAACGCATAGAGAAGCCAGAGAGCCAGTTTGTATGACAGCTTCTAAGCACTGATCACTAACAGGGCATCAGACAAGCCGATTCCCTTCTAGCAGAAGCAAACATTACACTTTTACCAGCACAGAGAGCAGAATGAAGGCAGAAAAGCATGTCTGACAGCTTCTGAGCACCGATGCCAACAAGACATCAGACATGCCAGCTTCCCTTCTATCAGAAACAAACCTTAACCTTTAACACACAGACCAGAGTGAACGCATAGAGAAGCGTGTCTGACAGCACGGATGGCCAAGTGGACACCGGACACGCAGCGTCGCCGCCTTCCGAGGCGCGGGCTCCCTCCCTCCACGTCCCTTCGCTCACTGGGCACTTTGGGGAACACAAACCCACCTGGCAGTGACGCCTCCAGGGCACCTTAGTGCGATGCTTTTCCTACCTGTCCCCCGTCGGGGGTCAACATCTGTTAACATCTGGGCTCTGACCCAGCTCCTTCCCGCCCGACCCCCCACCGTGCACCTGCTTCCCCACCTGGACGCGGCTTCCCCAAACCCCGGGACCCGGCTTCCTTCCACCTGGACCCGCCTTCCCCCCTCACGCGGTTTCCCCCCACCTGAACATGACTTCCCCCCCCAGACACG